CACCCACAGATTCGATTGCTTAGCCTTGGTATCCCGGATGAATAACTTGTATTTTTAACCTCGTATTTTTGCATGTGAATTTGGACCATTGAATTGGAGCAACTTTGAAATGTTCTCTTTCAGTTTTTTGTAATATGTATCTTTAAACCCTGAATTTGTTTTGTCATGAATTTGTGAACATAGAAAAATAGCAGTGAACTTGCATTATAGAAAATTTGAAGACTGTAATTCAGAGGCAAAAAAAATCGGATGCATATTTCCAATGCATAAATATCCAATGTTAGAATTTCAGTGGCATATAAAATTCAAAATGTGATGAGACAGACTTACTTCCATAGAGGACACATTTTGCACAGTTTAGAAAGATAAATAAAGGAATTTTTTGAATAAATTTGTCTGTAGCTCATTCTGTTAAAAAAAACATGTGAAAATCATATCGTGAACTCAGAATCGTGAATCGTATCGAATCGTGAGTTGAGTATATCGTTATATCCCTAGTGACAGGGCACAAATACTTAGAAGTAACCCAGTAACTACTGAAGTATAAAACAGGAACAAATATAGTAGCTACTTAAGATAAAAGATGTGTCATGATTCATTAATGATGAACAAACATTAGATAAGCATTTCACTTATGTCAATTATTACTTGTTCCTTCAGTAATTCCTTAGTAATTCCTTCAGTTCTTCACAAGGGTTTACAGAATTAGCTATAATTGCACATGTAACATGAGATCAATATGTAACCAAGTTTCTGATTAAGTAATAGCATAATACTACATTATTTGTGCCCCCTCGAGTAAAGTGTTACCACAAAGTTTAATGCTAATATGGTTGTACAAAGGTCAACAAAATACTTAAATATCAACAGTGAAATTGTAACAGTATCTGTATGTTGGATATAATATCTTGAACAACATATAAAAATGTCTGCCTTTTAAATTACTGAGCATTATTATTATTATTATTATTTTAGACTGTTACAGACAGGCACAATGAAGGTAAATATAGCTCAAACAAAACAAGAGACTTTATTTAATGAAACAAGAAACAAAAGGAACCACAGGTCTAAAACATGGCAGGTACTTAGAAAACAAAGAACTAAACAGGGAGCAGCACAGGAACAAACTACACAATTAGGGAACAAAATCCACAAAGCAAAACTGCAAGCAAATGCAAAGCAACATATACAATGACCAGCTGAATACTAAAGCAAAGGCTGGTAATTAAATAAATATGTAACAAGGATCAACAAGAGACAGGTGTGAATAGTAACAATCACTAGGAACACAAGCACAGGTGAGGGCAATTAACAGATAAAGGATCAAAACACTAAAGAGAGACTAGAAAACAAGGGTAACTGAACATTACTACAAATGGAACAACACGGAACCATAACACAAATACATAGATCAGGAAAATAAACATATTGTAAATGGTCAAAATTACAAACTAGAAAAGGGAAACCTGGATACACAACTGCCTGATGAACCCATTAAGTCAAGTGACAGCCTAGGAAACAGTAGAACACATTAGGAGCTAACCAAGTGACACTGTGGGAACGCAGAATATGATGGCCAGCGGCCAAAAAGGGAAACGACAGACAATGCATGTATTGCTTTTTATTATGAACTGTTGCAATTTTATATTTACATTATTATTAGCTGTAAAGTACTGTTTGTATATTGCAGTACTCTACTTTTCGTCTTGCCTCTCTACTGTAACTATTGAGTTGTGCCCAAATTGACTTGTGTCCGGTGGTCCTGGTCACAAATGCAGACGTAAGTCAATGAATTCCTGTATAATTATGAAAAATTATATATAATAATTATATATTATAATTGATGGTAATATCAGCTGAATAGTGTGCTTCACCTGCATTTTACATATGTATGTTATAAAGGACTCGTCTTCTCTCTCTCCAGTCCTGACCTCATGTTCTTCATGTGGGTCCTGGCAAGCCAGCTGCTCTTATCTGTTATTCAGTCACCAACTTATGTCAATTAAAATCTAGTCAGTTAACGTTAGCTGGCAAACTAGAAAAATATGTTGCCCTGCCATTATTTTTTTCATGTGAACACTGCTTGTATTACTGCAAATGTTTTTTTTGATATTTGATGTTATTTGATATTTATAACTGGCATGAGGTGTATCACAGTTTATGCAAGGTTTTATAAATGAAATATTTCCCATCCTGCAAAAAATTTACAAACATTTTTTTAAATAAATAAACCCCCAGCACCCTATACTTTTGTTTTCAGATTTGTTACTTGCTACAGACTAGAAGCTCGACTGCTGGTATAACGTCTAATGGAAATATTTCTATGTGCATAGAGCCCATTCCAAACTGAGAACAGCTATCAGCCACTGGGGACCTAAAGACAAGAGCAAGGTATTCTGGGTAAAGTAACCCTGATAACCCTGACCTGTGACAAATACAGCCTTCCAAAGCATATAATTGGAAAGGTGCTTAAAAGCAAAGGATTATGTGCTTATTTGACATGGTAGAACGTATTCTACCATGTCAAATAAGCACATAATCCTTTGCTTTTAAGCACCTTAAGCCCATGGTTATTAATCCAAATGATCAGTGTACATCTCTGTGATTCAAAACTCCCTGTATGTGATTAAAAACTGGCTGGTTTGCATTGGTTAAATGATATTACACCTGGTAAGATTAATTTTGAATATAAAGTGAACATTACCTTTGGTTTTGATTACAGAGTCAGACTGTGCTATACACCCATAATCACCTAAGCGATGGCTCACCATTTCGATGAAGAGGTTTGGCTGTAACGTTTTGGCATATGATGCATGTTGTTGAGGCCAAAAATACCAGACAGTAAAAGGCAGGAAAGATTGAGTTCTTAACATGACTAACTATTTTCAGGTGAAGGTTGCTGAAAATAGCAGATAAGAAGCTCAATCTCTCTTCTACAAGCTACTACCTTATCATACCATACTACACAAAATGTTACTATAGACATGCTGTAACAGAACAGATTAATTTAATGTAATATATATATGGAGATATATATTTTTAAAAATTGCAGCAGATCTCTCCAGCAGCCACATAAGACTGTGAGCAGGACAACTGATTTCTATTAACAGAAATGTCATTGCATGCGTCTGAGTGACCCAGTACGGGTTCATGAGATCTCGTGAACTCATCTCCAACATTCTGCAGATCCAGACGTCACTCGCGGTCCTCTTGCTGGACTATTTGAAGGAGCTCAGTGATGAAGAGCAGAAGGAGTTTAAATGGAACCTGAGTCACACAGGGTTAAAGCCCATTCCCAGGGGGCAGGTGATGCACTTGGATAAAATGGACGTCATTGACATGATGATAAGTTCTTATTCTGAAGAAGGTGCTCTCAAAGTCACGCTTGAAATATTGAAGAAGATGAACCTGAATGACCTTGCTCAGAGATTGAAAAAAGACATGCGGAAGTGTAATTATATTTTTCTCAATTTTTAATCAACTTTTCTAAATTATAATTTTTTAATCTCTTGGAAAATAAGTATATTAAATAGTATTATCTGGAAAATTATGAAGTTTGTTAGGTACTGATGTTGAAGATAGAAATTAATTTATTTCAGGCAGCCAAGCAGGAAGTGAGCTGTGTGGTACATTGCAGAAAAGTAAGAGCTTTATCCTATTTTGTACATGTATGTGGTGTGATGATGTAAAATTCAAAGTTTGATTTATCACAGTGAAATAGTGAAAAAACTGTGTTTTTGTTCTTTTTATAAATATTCTCCTCCTATACTGGTCAGGATCACAATGAGAACTAATATATTTTCCTGGCATTTCTTTTCAGGGGAACTCATGCCGCAATGTCAGCGGAGAATAAAGTGTAACCTGAAGGAGAAATTTGAGCGTGTATTTGAAGGGAAAGCTAAGGAAGGACAGCCAACACTTCTCAATGAGATTTACACAGAACTCTACATAACTGAAGGTGGGACTGGAGGAGTCAATGATGAACATGAAGTGACACAGATTGAAACAGCATCCAAGAAAAGGTTAACAGAAGATACTACAGTCAAGTGCAATGATATATTTAAACCCTTAAGTGGACGCGTGGCACCTATCAGAACTGTACTCACAAAAGGGGTTGCAGGTATCGGGAAAACAGTCTCTGTAGAGAAATTTATTCTAGATTGGGCTGAAGAAAAAGCAAACCAGCATGTTCACTTCATATTTGCTCTTCCTTTCCGGGATTTGAATTTGATTAAAGATCAGCATAGTCTGATTGAACTGCTTTGCCACTTTGTTCCAGATTTGAAAACATTTGAACCCAATGAACTGTGTAGGTACAAAATCTTGTTTATCTTTGATGGTCTGGATGAGTGTCGCCTTCCTCTAGATTTTCAGAACAATGAGAGTTGGTTTGATGTAACCAAGAAAACATCACTGGATGTGCTGTTCACTAACCTCATTACCGGGAATCTGCTTCCATCTGCTCTCCTCTGGATAACCTCTCGACCAGCAGCAGCCAATCAGATTCCTCCTGAGTGCATCCACCAGGTGACAGAGATACGAGGATTCAATGATTCCCAAAAGGAGGAGTATTTCAGGAAGAGATTTAGTGATCAGAACCTGGCTTGCAGGATTATCACACATGTGAAATCATCAAGGGCTCTCTTCATCATGTGCCATATACCAGTGTTCTGTTGGATTTCAGCCATTGTTCTTGAGAGGCTTTTTACTGAGACTGACAGTGGAGACATTCCAAAGACTCTAACTGAAATGTACACACACTTCCTAATCTTTCAGACCAGTTTAAAAAATGACAAGTATAGGCTCCAGACCCCCGTAACACTGAATAGGGCAGTCTGGTACAGAAAATGGATGGATGGATGCATGAAAAACTATGAAACCAGATTTAATAAACATTCTAAATCTGGCAAGAAATTCCTTTTAAAACTTGGTAAACTGGCTTTTCACAACCTTAAGAAAGGCAATCTCATATTTTATGAGCAAGATCTGACAGAGAATGACATTGATGTCACTGAAGCTTCAGTTCACTCTGGAGTGTGCACAGAAGTCTTCAAAGAGGAATTTGGGTTGTATCAGGACAAGGTGTACTGCTTTGTGCATCTGAGCATTCAGGAGTATCTTGCTGCTTTATATGTGTTTCTATCAAACTCATCAGCTGACCTGCTGAAGACTGCAGTGGATGAGGCATTAGAGAGCAAGAATGGACACTTGGACCTCTACCTCCGCTTCCTCCTTGGCCTCTCAACAAACTCCAGTAAGACTCTGATACAAAGGCTAATGGCACAGAAAAGAACCAGATCACGTGACATTAATGAGTCAATCCAATATATCAAGAAGAAAATACAAGAAAATTTGTCACCAGAAAGGACTATTAACCTGTTCCACTGTCTGAATGAACTGGGTGACAATTCTCTAGTAGAAGAGGTACAAAGATACCTGAATTCAGGAAGTCTTTCAGCAAAAGACCTCACACCTGCACAGTATTCAGCTCTGGCCTTTGTGTTACTGATGTCAGATGAGGAGCTGGATGTGTTTGATCTGAAGAAATTCATCACATCAGATGAAGGTCGCCAGAGGCTGCTGCCTGTGATCAAGAATTCTAGGACAGCTCTGTAAGTGAAGTGAGGATGTGAAAGTAATGTATGTGGCAGTAATACATTAACATTGTTTGAAACATTTACATTTAACCTATTTAGCTGGAACAATTGAGTGTTAAGGGCTTTGCTCTATCAGCTAACAGTGAAATCATTGTGCCAGTGCTGGGAACTGAACCGGTGCCATTCCAGTCACCAGTACAGCTTCATAAACTGTTGAGCCACACATCTCCAAAATAAATGAAACAATATTTCTCCTTGTGGATTAGTAACCAGGCTGGCTATTTTTTAATAACCTGGAAGTCCAATTTTATAATGAATGAAGGTAGTTATGTAGAAAAAAAAAACAAAACAAAAAGTAACAGTTCCGTTTAGGACTGGACGATTTATCGATTTCATATGGAAATCGCGATTTGAAACATTAGCAAGTCGCAAAGGCTGCGATTTAGGATATACATTATACAGCACGTCGGACCCAGGGTTTAATGGTGCGTTCGTTTTTCTCTCGGAACTCGGAAATTCCGAGTTGAGTGACATCACGTCCGACAATCTCCCGTTCGAGCTACCACATCTCGGAACAAACATGGCTGCCTCCATGAACACGTTGCTGTGTGTTGTTGCTTTATATTTTAGCAGATTTGGAGTGAGATTATTTTTTCCGAGAGACAAACAAACAAGAAACACGAATTAGTCAAACCACATTAAAAGCTTTATAAAATATTTTAGCACATTCATAGCGATATTCTTTTTTCGAGAGGCAAACAAACTACAAACAAACTAAAGACACTAACTAGTCTGGTAAAAAACTCATATTAGATGCCTGGATACTGTTTACGGTCATGATATGGTATTCTTTGAATCGAACACATGCAATTACATTTATAACTATTAATACATTTAACAAAATAAACATTTTTAAAGATTTATAAAATACAATTACTGTTCAGTGTGTAAGCCGCCATGTTGAAATTACGTCACAGGGGCAACTCGGACAACAAAATTTTGTCTGACATCAACGTCATAAAAGAGGCGTGTTTCCGACGGGAAGTAACGTTTTTCATGACGTTTCGTGACGTTTTCATCCGAGTTCTGACTTGGAGAGAAATAATCGAACGCACCAGTCATTTTCTGTATGTCTGTCAGTTAAATTTTTAATTCAGTATTATTTGTATAACACCTTTCCACAACATTACATTGTTCCAAAGCACTTTACATGATCCCCACCCAAAACCCTCAGTGAGCAAGCCAGAGGCAACAGTGGCAAGGAAAAACTTCCTAGAAGGAAGAAACTCAAAGGGAGAGTCCATCCTCCGGGAATCGGCAGAGGAAGTCAAATGAGCAAGACGGCAAAGTACCAATGTCCCAGTTTTAAGATTTGAGATAGTGTTCCAGATTTGGCTATGGCAGCATAAGTAGGAGGGAGAGGCAAGTGGGAACACAGACATGGGGAGTCCCAGAAATGTCATCACTGCAATTTGACTAGGGAGCATGAGGCTAGAATGACAGCACTGACAGTTCAGTTCATCCAATGCCAATGGCACTGATCCACACCCAGCTCTACACCTCACACTATAAGTCTAACTAGGAATGAGCAATTAGCTAGAACTACAGTGTAGAACTACAGTCAATATGAATTCGACTAAACAAGTGTGTTTTTAGTCTAAACTTGAATATTGAGAGTAAGCCTGAATCTCACACATCAAAACATGATTTTAGGGTTATGCTAATAACTATATTCAGCTGAAGTAGATTCTTTTAGTGCCATGAATTCATTCGGCTTAAGCCAGGTCTCAGTTAGGCATAAGGCACCAATGCTAAAATCAGTAATCATTTAGTTTATTAGTAATGCCTTTGGAACCAGTGAAGTTTTAGCTTACATTTTTTTTGCATTATACAGTACTTATCTAATAATGGATTTTGTTTAAGTTATTATGACATAAACTACAGTGGAATAGATCTCCACAGTTAAAAGTGTGGGGAACAGACACATTCTTATTAACCTGAACCCTAGGTGACGACTCTAAGCGACTAGCAGGCGGTCAGTTTTGCAGGTTTTCCTGGTGCCTGGACTTGGCTCTGGCTAGTTCCTTGAGACTATGAGCTATGCTTTTGGACAGAAGATAAACACCACCCTGCGAAGGGTGAATTCCATCCCTCTTCAAAAGTCCAGGCCTACCCCAAAACATCTGCCAATTGTCTACAGTATATAACCCACAACATTTATCGAGCACCATTCTGACAGCCAGCAATGCAGTGATAATCATCTGATGTACATTTTGTCACCATGTCTAGCAGGGATGGGGTCAGAGCACGTTTCTGACAGAGACAGTCAGGTTGCACACCTCTATGAAATTTGTCTCAGTGATCTCCGATTGCTTCAGTCGTACAACATTAGTGCTGAAGTGGATATCAATCTGAGAATATTTAAAGTTACTGTTAGCTCGCACTTTTAAATTTGCAGAGAAGTTGGTTGCTCTGGCACCAGGGAGACAATTTACTATGGTCGCTGGAGTCGCTAAGGTCACGGTTCTTAAAATGGAATCTCCAATAACCAGAGCGCTTTTAACAGACGTCTCAGGGGGTGTTTCACTGAGTGGGGAGAACCTGTTGGAAATGCAAATAGGTGAATGGTGCCGGTGTGAGTTAAGTTTGGATTTACAACTATGCAGCCGTGTCGTTACCCACTCGCCTTGCTGCGAAGGCACTGCTGCCAGAGGAGGGGGGAGACTGACTAGCTATCGCAGACATATCTGGAACCACTAACACTGAATCAATAAAACTGTCACGTCCCTCTAATACTCCAGTCTTCTCTGTCAGCCTACTAACTAGGTGACACTTCTCACAGATAAACGTACTGATAATGATGAGAGAAGAATAACTAAACATACTGCGACTCAATGACTGCAAAGTGCCCAGGTCCTATGGCTGCAAAACAAGCACAAATCATTATCCATGCTTGACAGTTGGTACAGTATGTGGTGTTTGCCCTTATATGTTGTTTGGTTTTCACCAAACGTGGCTCTGTGAATTTATGCATTATGGCCAAACATCTCCACTTTGTCTTATTCTCCACTTGTGAATAATCTTTCTCACTGCAGAATGTTGATGGATTCAAATTGTTTGGAAATTGCCTTGTTACTTTAATTGCTTCTCTGAGATCATTGCTGATGTCTTTCCTCCTTGGCATTGTGTTACACACCTGAATGCTCCAGACCAGCAAGCTGCCAAAACTTCTTCTTTTATAGATGTGGTCACACTTGCTGATGATCAGATAATCAAGTGCATTTGATTAGCAGCACCTGGCTGCTACTTACCCTCTTAATTCCTATGGTAGCAGTAAGGATGTGCTTAACTTTTCACACACTGCTTCTGTATTTTGGCTTAGTTTTTGTTAAATAAATAATGGCATGGTGTAATGTCATGTGTTGTTCATCTGAGGTTGTCTTTTACCTAATTTTAAGACCTGCTAAGGAGAAGATGATTTTTATTATGTCCTGATACGTAAAACGTTCCAATTGATAGAGGGTGTACTTTCTTTTTCACATGACTATATATTTAGGAGAAGAGGAGGGTTATTTGGTAGGACGACTTTCACTATAACTAATGGAATCACTGCTCTCTATTGGCTCACTGGAATCTTTTTGTTTTTGTGCGACTTTAACAAGGAACCTATCCAATGACAGTTGCTTTTGCCTCCTTTTCGCTTTCACAGAAATGTGACATTGCTTTGTCGTTAAACAGATTCATCGCTTGCACTGCTACAGCCTTATTCGGGTGGTGCTTTTCTACTAAGTTTTGACTATATGAGTGAGGCACGCAGACTGAGACCAAGCATGGGAAAATGATTACCCACAATCCCGCAGTGAGAGAGAGAGAAGAACCATTGGCTGAGTTGTGATCAAGTGACGCTAGGCAGGCAAAGCATAATAGTAATACTCGTACTGCAAGACCTCGCTCGTTTATCAAGTTAGAATTTATTTAAAAATTTAGCTTGTCTTGCAAAACACTCGCAGACTAAGTTACTCGCAATTCAAGGTTTTATTGTATAGATCAGGGGTGTCAAACTCAATCACACGGGGGCCAAAACTCAAAGCACACTTTAGGTCACGGGTCGAACAGGATAAACATTTATTGAACAGACTAAAACTAAACGTTTTTTGAACATAAATATGAATCGAAACAGACAAGATATGATATTATTCCAAAATAAATAAACTTAAAATAACTTAAACTTAAAATATTTTGCTCTCCATAACAATATCTTACCGAGCCCCTAAAGGGACATAGGTGATTTATATATATTTTTTACCGTATCTGGTGCGCACGAGATACTAAAGTATGACTCATGTTTGACACATGTGGTATAGATTATATAACCTATGATAGAGTCGCTCACTGTCAATGATCATATGACTCATGGACAATATACACAGCAACCTAACAGGAGAACCTGTTTTGTGCCAACAGCAGTAGATTGATCCAGTTCCTGAATATCCTACACACAAAACTTCTCAGGAAATTTGTGCTTTGAATTAAAAATGCTAACTACAGTGCATCCGGAAAGTATTCACAGCGCATCACCTTTTCCACATTTTGTTATGTTACAGCCTTATTCCAAAATAGATCAAATTCATTTTTCTTCTCAAAATTCTACACACAACACATAATGACAATGTGAAAAATTTTTTTTTTGAGATTTTTGCAAATTTATTAAAAATAAAAAAACTGAGATATCACATATACAGAAGTATTCACAGCCTTTGCTGAATACTTTGTTGATGCACCTTTGGCAGCAATTACAGCCTCAGGTCTTTTTGAATGTGATGCCACAAGCCTGGCACACCTTTCCTTGGGCAGTTTGGCCCATTCCTCTTTGCAGCACCTCTCAAGCTTCATCAGGTTGGATGGGAAGCGTCGGTGCACAGCCATTTTAAGATCTCTGCAGAGATGTTCAATCGGATTCAAGTCTGGGCTCTGACTGGGCCACTCAAGGACATTCACAGAGTTGTCCTGAAGCCACTCCTTTGATATCTTGACTGTGTGCTTAGGGCTGTTGTCCTGCTGAAAGATGAACCATCGCCCCAGTCTGAGGTCAAGAGCACTCTGGAGCAGGTTTTCATCCAGGATGTCTCTGTACATTGCTGCATTCATCTTTCCCTCTATCCTGACTAGTCTCTCAGTTCCTGCTGCTGAAAAACATCTCCACAGCATGATGCTGCCAGCACCATGCTTCACTGTAGGGATGGTATTGGCCTGGTGATGAGCGGAGCCTGGTTTCCTCCAAACGTGACGCCTGGCATTCACACCAAAGAGTTCAATCTTTGTCTCATCATACCAGAGAATTTTGTTTCTCAGGGTCTGAGAGTCCTTCAAGTGCCTTTTGGCAAACTCCAGGTGGGCTGCCATGTGCCTTTTACTAAGGAGTGGCTTCCGTCTGGCCACTCTACCATACAGGCCTGATTGGTGGATTACTGTAGAGATGGTTGTCCTTCTGGGAGGTTCTCCTCTCTCCACAGAGGACCTCTGGAGCTCTGACAGAGCTCACCATCGGGTTCTTGGTTACCTCCCTGACTAAGGCCCTTCTCCCCCAATCGCTCAGTTTAGATGGCCGGCCAGCTCTAGGAAGAGTCCTAGAACATAAGAACATAAGAACATAAGAA